GAGGCCTTGCTATCAGATGTAGTTTATCGTTATACCCAGGATGTTATTAATGCCATGTCACAGTAGGTGAAATAAAACGACGGAAATCTAAGCTTGGTTGAATTTAATGTCAACAGAAAAGGAGTTGATTGATTAGTTATGGTCTCTAATTATTTGAAACACGATTTAGAGAAGATGGAGTGATAAAACTCGTGTCAAAATTAATTAAATCTATTACTCTTCAGCATTGCAAGAGTTGCTTCATAAGGTCTCCAATCTAATAAACGATTTTCAAAACAGATCGAATACTGAAACCGGTATCAAAGTTAAATAAATTTACTTCATTTCAAAATTACGAGGGCTCATTGAAAAGTAAGTTTTAAACCAGACAGAAAATTGAAACAGACATGAAGAGAAATTAATAACCTTCAAAATTAGAAGCTTATTTTGAAGATATTAGGTTGTCCGGAAAATAATGTCTGATTTTAGAATAAACCTTTCGCGTTCTCATGTATTATTATAATAGATGCACAAAAAATATGACACATTCGTATGATTAAAGTGTCATCTTTGTTAATTTTACTTCACTCTCTTTCAGAATTTTGTTCTCAAATACGTGACGCCCCTTGCTTATGCAGTGGAAAATAGTATTAGGTTGTTCGGAAAATAATGTCCGATTTTAGAATAAACCTTTTCTGTTCTCATATATTATTATGATAGTTGCACAAAAATATATGACTCATTCTTAATGATTAAAACGTCCTCTGTGTTAATCTTATATCAATCTCTTTCAGGATTTAACTTAAAACATGCCTCTATGCCTAATCTTCAATATGAAAAAGAAGAGATGCGTTTAGTTTTGTGCTTGAGTTCAAGCATTGTCATAATACGTCTCAAACTGCTGCCAACATTAACGGAGGGAGTCGAAGAATCCACTTGTTATTGGACAGTAATGCTCTGATTTCTGAAGTGTCGCAGATGAAGAAAATAGTCTTGGAGAACAAAGTGGTAGAGGATGTTCAGCTTCAATTGACATTCAAAACCTGAAACGTCTATTAGAACAAAACCTTACGTCTAATTGTCAGAGAGATGTCTCAGAGAATGGTTGTTAGCATTTCAACAATTATCGAACGAGCTGAACACAATTGGCAGGGTGAAGTAACTCGATAAATGGATTCCACATGAAATCAGTGAAAGTGAAAAGGTTCAAAATTTTGAAGTGTGCTCGATGTTGCCTCTGCCAAATTTGAACGATCCATTTCTTGATCGAATAGTGGCTTCTAACGACAATCGTAAACGATTGTTTCAATGATTTGATCATAATGGAGGACCCAAAATCTTTCAAAAACCGAAATTACAACAACAGAAGATTATGGTGACTGTCTGGTGGTTCGACTAAAAGAATAGTCGAAAGCGCGCTCGGACAAATAGAACATTGGGACAATTTCTACATACGTTATGTCCAGAAAAGAAAACAAAAATAAGAACACTTATTAAAAGAAAAATTAAATAAATATCTTAACCGCAGTACCATGTCAGTCGTTTTAACGAAACTTTTATAAAATAGAGATTTTTTTATGTTTATACGTTCTTTTTATAGATACAAATATTTAAGTAAATGCTCTGTTTATAATAAACAGTATTAACGGTATTTACCTGCCTGAATATCCGACTAATTTTCATAGAAAATATGCGTCCTCTGACAGGAATCGAACCTGTATCCTATACGGAACCGTCACGTAGCCTGACGTGCATTACCGATTGAGCAACAGAGGGCCGTTTCGGTTAGCAGGATCGATTTTACTGTTTTTAAACTACAGTTCTCCACGATTTTCTCTCGTACATTCATATCAGCTTGATGCGTATCCAAATGTAAACAAATGACGTCACACATTATGAAATGGACAAAATCCGACAATTATTTTATGACATTTTTTATGCTTATACGTTCTTTTTATAGATACAAATATTTATGTAAATGCTCTGCTCATAATAAACAGTATTAACGACATTTACCGGCCTGAGGACGCATATTTTCTATGAAAATTTCTCGGACATTCAGGCCGGTAAATTTGTTGCCCAAATACACAATTACGAAAAAGTTCGTCTACGAAACTCCAGAGAATTTGATTTGTATTAAGCACTCACACACACACACACACACACACACACACACACACACACACACGCACATATATATATATATATATATATATATATATATATATATATATATATAAATAAATATAGTTTTAAGGTATGCTATATTTATGGGATAAAGTGCTCAATATCATAGATAAAGCGTATGTAAATATAAATATAAAAGTGAACATTGAAGTCAACACTCAGAGGCGACAGGCTGGTTCATGCTAGACGCAATCATTATATATATATATATATATATATATGTGTGTGTGTGTGTGTGTGTGTGTATATATAAAGATAGATAGATAGATAGATAGATAGATAGATATACAATCGGGGAAACAAATACTCGTACACATACAAGTTTTTCATTTATTGTATTTCCAACTAATGAAGAAACATACTTTACACATAATTAATTAATTGTAAACATAGACATAATAATAAAATATGCATAAATAACAGGAAAATTTGATTCAATAGAACTAAATCCCATTTATATATTTTAATACGTGGAAAAAAGTATTCGTACAATGCAAATTTCCGATTTCAAAACATTTAAATTGCTTTAATACTCTAGATTATTCAAGTGGAATGTTCCAGTAATGTTTTCAAGTAGTTATTTTTAGCCTAAAAATATACAAACAGTATATTCTGTAATTGATATTCGTGCAAAAAGGTTATCGTCATGACAAGAGGCAAAGAATTGACAAATTCGCAAAAAAAAAAAAAAAATTAGAGCTTTCTGGAATCTAACTAACGCATCACTGCCGAAGTTTACTGTCAGCAATTGGATGAAATGCCTATTCAGTTCTGAAAATGCGACCGACACTGGTTAATCAACAAGCTTTCATTCTGCTTCTGACAATACTGGACCACGTGTTGCCATGATGAGACTGTAAAAGCTCATCGATTTAGGATACGAGATTTTGCCACGTCCACCAGATTACCTGATCTCTCGTTCACTGATAGCTGTTTTCCAATCATCTTGACATTTTTTAATCTAAAAGATACTCGGCTAGAGAAAAAAAAGATGCAAATCTGCATTCAAAGATTACTTGTCCTCCAAACCTTTAGAGTCTTATTGTAAAGATGTAAATGACCTTATAACACGATGAATTGACAAGGATAACGCTCTAAAAGTTGAGTTTCATGGAAAAAATGTCATGCTGTGCGTGTAGTGGGACCGCCGAGATATTATTTTTTTAAATTTTTTTCAAGTGCAGTAAAACATTAAATGCACACTGATGCGTCCAGCAGGTGCAACGTGTCCATAAAAATTTATTCGAAAAATGTTGTTTTGCTCCATAAAAATGCAAGGCCGCATAGAGCAAAAATAACACAGGAACAAATTCGGTTGGTCCGTTCTACTCCATCCGCCATATTCACCTGATCTTGCACCAATCAATTGTTTCTTTTTTCGATACCTGCAAAAGTCTTTGATGTGTAACGGCTCCCTTAATAAAAACCGTACTCAAGAGTTAGTTGTAAACTTTTTCGCATCTAATTCTACAGAATTTTATACAGAAGACATCAAAGAGCTGCACTGGCAACAATTCATTGTAAATAACGGTGAATATGTAATTGAATAAAATACTTGGACAATACAGAATAAAAAACATGAACTTCATACACTTGATCCATAATTTTGATCCCAATTCACAATTTGAAAATGGGATTTCTTTTAATCAAGCAAGGTAGTAAAGCCACTAAGACGGAGTGAGTCAGTCGTTCACTTTTGAATCGACTGCTCGGTTGAACTCTCTTCCTACGGACGGGAGGAACCCAAAGGAGGCTACGCCGAAGGGCGGAGTCTCCTTCGGGGAGGTAAAACCGGCCCTGAACCCGTATATACGGGTTCAATGGGCATATTTTTGGCCGGGCCCACGGGCTCGGAATGCCCATGTTAAAAAGGCCTGGGGGGTGACTCACTATCGTAAAGCCACTAAGACAGAAGAGGTTACTAGATGTGTAAGAATTAGAAAACCGAAATATTACTAAGTAGTGGGAAGTAGTAGATAGCAATTGCATTTAAATTTTTGAAGATTAAAATTGTCTGGAAAGCATGAAGCTGGAAGAGAGTTCTTCAAGCAAAAAATGCGAGAAAAGCGTAGAACTTAGTTAGCCTACGCCATTTAAGTAAACAAAAAATCTTGTCTACCATACTGAGAATGTCAGGTTTTCGATAATGACTGGGGACAGTGAAAAATATCTGAACAATACAGAACAAAAAACATGAACTTCCAACACTTGATCCATCATTTTGATCCAAATACACAACATCTTATTTTGAAATGGGATTTTTTTATTGAGTTCACCCCAAGCAAGGCAATAAATCTACTAAGACACAAGACTGCATGTGAAAGAATTAGAAAACCGAAATATTCCTAATTAGTGACAACAAAAGAAGAGTAATCAGGAGGGCAATAAATAGCTATTGACATTGCATTTAAATTTTTAAAGATTAAAATTGGCTGAAAAGCGTTCAGCCGGAGGGGAGTTCCACAAGTGAGAAGTGCGAGAGAAGAAACTGTTAGCATGTTATATCTAACCAACGAAACTGAAATTTTGAAAGGCATGGCAACAAGTCACTGCGCTCTAACTGAATAAAATTTATTCCTACATTTTTTTTTAAGAATAAAGTTGATAAACAAACACGGAAATAATTTATGACTGAACCTAACAAAAAGAAGAGAATTACTAATAGCAATATGAAATGTGGAGGAGGCAGATGAGGTAATTTTAGGAGGAAAAGGCTAATCATAATAAAGAATAAGATATTTTTAAAATAAAAAGAAGCAACGATGATGACGGGGGAAAGCATTGAATATGGCGATGTGCATCCATGATAACTCGATAAACATCCGGGCAACATTTCAAGAATAGAAAGAATAATAAATAATGCAATGATTATTATCAAGGATGTTTAATAAGAAAAGAAGGAAGGAAAGTGAAAGAAAGAAAGAAAGAAAGAAAGAAAGAAAGAAAATGGGGATACATGAAAAAGAAAGAGGGAAAGAAAACAAGAAACAAAAAAATGGGAAGAAATGTGAAATATGAGCAAAGAAAGAAAGAAAGAAAGAAAGAAAGAAAGAAAGAAAGAAAGAAACAACTAGGGAACAATTTAAGGCGCAAAACGGATGAAGGGAAGCTAAAAAAGAAAGAAAGAAATTTCAAGAAATGCGAAATAAAAAAAAACAAATAAAAAAAGATAAAATGAAAGCAAAAAAAAGGGAATGGAAAGAAACAAAAGGAGAAAAAAATTAAAGACAAAAAAGAAGGAATGAAAGCGAAAAAAACAACAAGCAAATGAAAAAGAAAATAATGTAAAATAAAAAGGAATAAAAACTGAAAAAAGAATAAAAGCAGAACAGAAGGAAGGAAGAAAAGAAGGAAACAAAAACAAATTGAAAAGAAAGAAAGAAAGAAAGAAAGAAAGAAAGAAAGAAAGAAAGAAAGAGGAGAAAGAAAGAAAGAAAGAAAGAAAGAAAGAAAGAAAGAAAGAAAGAGGAGAAATGGAAAGAAAGAAAGAAAGAAAGAAAAGAAATGGAAAGAAAGAAAGAAAGAAAGAAAGAAAGAAGGAAAGAAAGAAAGAATGAACGAAAAAAGAAAGGAAACAAATACAAAGAAAGGAATGAAAAAAATAAATCGAAGAGAAAGAAACTGGAAAATATAAAGAAAGAAAAGTAAATGAAATAAGGGGAAAAGAAAAAAACAAATAAATAGAAAGGAAGAAAGAAAGAAAGAAAGAAAGAAAGAAAGAAAGAAAATTGGAAATAATCAAAGATGAGATTAAACAAAATAAAGAATGCAATATAAATGTTTTTCTATTGTTAAATTTTTATTTGGTTTTCCAACGAAGCCAGCGAATCGATAATTTTGTAATTATATTCTCCATGAGATTATTGATCGCGAAGGAAGGTCTCTTCCTAACTTATCGGTGACGGGGTATTTTTAAATAGCAATGCCATACAACAACAACAACAACAACAAGAATGCTAAGAAAGAAAAGGAAAACAGAAATGAAAAACTGAATAAAACAATGCAT